ACTGTTAAATAATTTATAGTCTTTGATCTTGTCACAGATCTACTGAAATCTTCACATCACTCAAGCTAAATATTTTCAAACAGAAATGGGATAGGTTACTTCCCTCCACCCGCTTCTGTCAGCACAGGAGCTGAGCAAAATGAAGGTGCCAGGGGCCGTGCCCTCGGTTACTTTGGTGCAAGTTCCTTCAGAGGGACCTGCAGGAAAATTTTCCCTCTGGGGCTGCAGCGCCCTCAGAAATAGGACTTCTGCAGCAGCGTCCTGAAAGATTAAGAAAGCAGATGAAAAGAGCAGAAAATGTTGGTTTTCAAGGCAGTGCCATGCGTGGTTGTAAGCAAGTGGGGAAAAGTGAGGCCCCGATGGGATGCTGGCACTGGTGGAGCAGAGAGGCCTCGTGCAGGAGACTTGGCCACGCTGCCCAGCCTCACGGGGTGCCACAGGAGCTCGAGAGGCACCGCCCACAGCCGGGAGCTTCTTCAGGTGAAGGTCACCTACAAAAAAGGCTGGTAATGTATGTGAAAAGGCAGCTAGGCTGCATGGTTGGAAACGAAAGAGGAAAACAATGACTTCAACTTGTGGTCTAATCAGATAGGACCCACCTTAATGTCCTGTTGGTCAGGGGTATGGACTGCTCACAGTTACTATCAAAACCTACTTTCTAGTGAAAACCATGCTTCCCAGCTAAAGATGCCTTGCCAAGTGAGATTTGGAAGCTTTGGCATAAATGAGAAGCTCAGGCATGGGATCAAGCTATGCTGCATGAAGTTACCTCTCATTAGCTGAGCCACAGCAGTGGTACGAGACAAGACAACACAGCTTTGGTGCCTTGCACTGGAGGCCAAACTAAGGCAGCAGCATCACGTTGCAGCCCAGGAAGCCTCCGTGCATGTGTATGTACAATTACAACGGCTCCGCTGACTGATAACTTGTTAAATTGACATAACTCAACTCCGTGTCAGGGTCCTAAGACTAATGAAACATGTAAAGTATGGCAGAAGTAAACAGCAGCTTTCCAGGAAATCCTTAATTTGCATTCTAATTAAAGCAGTGTGGGGCAGAAGTCATAAATAAAGGATTCAATCACAGCTCACTGCGTAATAGGCAGACTGGTTTTACACACCTGATCTGACAGCCAAGTACTAATGTGGGGTTATGGAAGATGCCAGCCCCAAACAAGCTATTCACGTCTGCAAGTGACAAAGAGCCACATCGCCAAAAAAGGTTTTCGTGAAGTAATTTGTCTTTTACAAACTTTTCTTCCCTGGGAATATATCACATCTCTTTTAGGTTATGAAGAAAATTTGATCTAGAGGAGTCCTTGCAGGTGTGGGAGGCAGAATTTGAACACTACGCCTTCAGGCTTTTTACTCCTACTGCACAGAGCATCTAGCCTGCAGCAGGCTTCCCCCGCATGCATCAGGCAGATTTTGGGGACTCCTGGTTTGCACTCACCTGCTGCATCACGATTATCACATCAGCCATTCCCTCCTAGGGACCACATTACGCAGTTAATGCCGACGGGTAGGCTCCAAACACAACAGGGCAGCAGAAAAGGAGGCTGGTTGCATTCATTCACAATAAATTCATCTACATAAAACCACTCCAAAATTCAATTTTGATGGCTTTTCTATGTGGGATAGTACATATGCTTTATGTTATTTTGGGAACACTTTTGGTAAGCCCTCTGTTAAATTTATTAAATATAATCAAGTCAAGAAAAGAACAAGCAATTAAGTTGCTTGCTTTCTAATTAAAAATAAACATAATTATTTAAAATATCCTGCTCTTCCCCTTGCTGAAAGTACAGTAGAAAAACTACACTACATAAGTGATGAAACATTATTGCAAACCAAGCTGATCTAATGAAAGTGGAGAGTAAACATAGGTACCAGAACAAAAGTAAAGCCCATCATGGCTTTTAACCACTTCACCACACTTGCTTCACGTTTCCCCTCTAACCTACCACAAGCAGCAAATCTTTCCACGATCCTCTCAGCTCTTTCATTTTTGTGAAACATGCTTCTTTAGGGGATATTTGTTTTTTTGCAACCATAGCAATAAAATATATTATTGGCAGCAGTCTTGGGATTATAAATAGGTATCAGTCTTTGTTTAAATTCAGTAAGCCAGGACAAAATCACTGAGGTTTCCACACACATGACTTTCATTAGTAGCGATGTACAACTAAAATACATCAGGCTCATGCCCTTTATTGTTCTTATTTTTATTTTTTTTGGTGTTGTTCCTTCACGTATTTAGAAGGCTTGGAAGTTTTGGGGGTGTTTCGGAAAGGTCCCAAGGGAAAAGCCCTGATGACTCTGGAACAGGCCAAGCCACTCACACCAGGATGGGAACTACCGATCTGCTTGGAAAAACAGAAGTGTTTGGTTTCGAGGTTTTTGCTCGTTTCTATATTGTTGAATTGTTTAAGATGTGTTAGTCTGGTAAATACTCATTTAACTCCAAGTGCTAATCAACACTGTGAGGGAAGCAAGCCTATTCTGAACATTTAACATACCTCTGCAGACAGCTGCATCCAGCAGACTGCAACGGGCTGCCCAGGTGCCCGCCGTCCCTCACAAGGATACTAGAGGCCAGAGCCCACATTCCTTGTATTTCGAAGTCAGATGTGAAGAGCTGAAAATACTTGTGAAAAACAAGTGCAAGCTATTTTAGTCAAACACATCAAGGATTTTCCCTATAATTTGTATAAACGATCTTTATGCAAGACTCAGAGGTTTTATTTAAGGCTTGCAAGCACGCTGCGTTAAGAACAAAGACAGTAAAACAACCCAGAACAGATAGGCTAAATGAAGGTCCCCAACACCTCCCTCCTGTGATTCGAGGAGATAACTGTAGCTTGGAACAAGCTGGCAGCCGCAGCAGTTTAGGCTGGGGATGGGGTTTAGCCGAGCCCCGCGCCGCCCCGCTGCGAGTGATGCTGTGCCTCGTCCGCGGGGAAGGGCAGGCGGAGGGCGGCCCACAGCTCCTCCACCAGCAGGACACAGCAGCAGCCTGCTCTGGGACATGAGGAACATCATCCCGATTACTTTTAAATAACTCCCTCCCGGGGTTTGCCTGAGAGTACACGGACAATGCGAGGATGTGCTCAGCGCTGAGCTCTGGCAGCCGCAGCTGGCGGCTGCGTCCAGCCGTGGCAGCGCTTTGTAGCAGAGGCCAGGCCTGCGACTGCTTACAAGGAGCCCCGGGGCGATCCGTGTGGGCTGTCTGTCCCCTGTGGCCTCCACGGACAGACAAACCACCGCCAGGGTTAGCAGACCGCAAATGGTTAACCAGCCCCAGCCAGCTCAGGCAGGGTCCCGGGGCATATTGCGGAGGAGCAGAGTGCTGGTAAGAGGGGAGCCAACATGATTTGCAGTTTGGGAGCCATTTCGTGCCACCCTCAGACAAATCTCTTGTAGAAGCCAGCAGGACGCTCCTCTGGTTACGGGCTGCAGCGGGGTTTGGCTCCGGCTCTGAAGAAAAGGGATTCATAGGGGAAGCTTCTGGTAGCAGCATGTACACAAGGGAAGTTGGGCACAGCAGCATTTTTCTTTCAAAATCTCCCTGCTCCTGAAAGGCCACCCATGGGACGCGGCCATCTCTGGTGTAGCTATTGTTTTCGGTGGATGCGTGCCACGTATTAACAGCCGGGGTGGAGCAGGGGGAGCTCCCAGGCCTCGCGCACAGAAGACGAAGACTGCCCTCTGCCTTTCTGTCTTCAGAGGCCACTCGTAGCTCAAACGAGGTGAAAAGCAGAGCCTGCCAAGGGCACAAGATTACAGCTCCAGCCTTACCGTCCTAAAACAGGTTCCAGCAGCACCCCGGCTAATTCCTGCAGCCAGCACTCCAGCAACAGAAGGAGCTTTCGTGGAAGAGCTTCTTCATCACGGCCAGGACGCACAGGGCATGAAGTGAATGGTGTCTGGAGCAGCTGGGGAATGCCTCCAGCTGAGGACGGGGGCAGAGCAGAGCTCGCTCCCCTTGCTTGGCACAGCAGCCGTGACGGGACCAGCTCCAGCTCCTTGGAAAGGGGACAGATCTCTCCCGAGTCCCCAGGGCTTGAGAGCCCTGCTTCTCAGAGGGTTTTAAGCAGGACAGCTCGTTTCCTTCACATCCTTCCACTTTCGTTTCCCCCTTGGCTCTCTTTCAGGGCGAGGTGAGTATTCCCATGGAAGAGGGCTGAGATGTAGCAGCAGCGGAGTTCCTGAACACACTAGGCTTCAGTGATGCGCCTTGTTTTGTACAAATATAAAACACACACACGGGTTATAAATCAAGGGCCCAGCTACGGGAGGCTCGTCCCTGGAAAGGTGTCAGGGCACATGCATTTGGACGGCTGCTGCCCTCAGGCTGCCTGAAGCGAGTTTTGACCCAGGATATTAATACAGCTTATTGGATACAGAGCTAACCGGGCTGGAGCTCAGAGGTCTGCTTATATTACACGAGCGCGGGCCTTTGGGAGATTAACACCTAGAGAAAATGCATCTGTATTTGTTTGGGGGGCGAGGCCACAGTTCAAATTCTTAGGTTATCACCCAAACTAGACAAGATAGATAATCAATGCCCCGTGATAGCAAGTCCTGAGGAAGTGATCTAGTTTTGTTCTGCGGGATCATTATTCAGCATATAACTCTTTCTGTGTTCATTTATATTTAAAGTCAGATCAGGCATTTATTTTCCTGAGACTTTTATGAATTCATACCTATATTTTCATCTCTCATCATAAAGCAAAACTGCCTGGATTATGTCAGTTCTGTGCTTTTTTTGCAGCAACATAAAAATATATTATATTATTGCAAAACACTATGTCACAGAAATCATATAGATGTCAGGCTAAAAAGAATCTTAAGAGGGCATCCAGCCTATCTTCCTACCCAGAAGCGGGATCAAGTTTACTTCCAGCCATGACAGATGCCCGTCAAACTTCTTCAAACCTTCAGAGGAGAGTCCATGGCATCCCTAGGTAACCTGCTCCAGTGCTGAACACTCCTGTTTAGACAGACATTGTTTAAACAACCAAGAGCCTTATTTTGCTGCCAGCAGAGCCAACCTCCAAATCTATTTTCACATCTTTAATCCACATCTTAGGTAAGTCCAACCCTTTGAAAACATCGATGGCTGGACGTAAATCCACCGATACTCTGCACCTTTAGAAAGTAAATTAAAGATGGAGCCGTGATGACTATCAGGGTAGATAGCAGCTAGCAGAGATCAGGGTCAGCAGCACTGCTGAGAGGTAGGCGGGTGACACTTCTCATTAAGCCTGAGCAAGAAAGAACACCGATCTGCTAAACCTTGAGCGCAGTTTGTTTTTTACAGAGCCTTCTATTAAACATGTAAAAATACAGTATTTCCTATCCCACACTCAATGGACATCCCAAGTGATAGATCTGTCTCCTTTTTCTAACAACTTCTGCCTACTAGAAGACTTACGCCTTCCCTCAGACATCTTTTCTAGATAAACACGCACAAATCTTTCCATCTTTCAGCACAGAATATATTTCCTAAATCTCGAAGCGCTGGGGTTGTTTTCCTGGAAGATAGCCACTTTTTCTGCATCACTTTTCAGAAGTCCAAAACCAGACCTGAAAATCCAGCTTCCGACTTCTTGGCACTGAACAGAGACATCTTGCACACACCGCTCCTGCTCGCACACTGCATGCTTAGAGTTGCTCTTTTAATGCCATTATTGTATTATTTTTTTATTTGTGCTCTACTCACCAGGATCTACAACTCCCATTTTCTCTCCTGCTGCCATCTCTGCATATTTACAGATTATTGTATGCATGCTACCTTGCAGGTTAATAATCTGAGTGTCACCATGCTGGTTATGTTTGTTTGTTGTTGTTTTTTTTTTCACCAACATCTCATGTTCTTTCTTGTTTTTAATCCTGTTTTCCAAAGAACTTCTGTAGCCTCTCAGCATCCCACCATCCTTACGTTTTTCAGTAATAAAAATATCAACTAGAACTAGACCCACAGTTAACCTCACTCTGAAAGCAAAAGGAAATACACATTTTAGCAGGGTGCTTAGCGGAGCGCCACTAACTACTTTCTCAGTGCAGGATTTTAAAGAGTTTGGCCATCCCCTGTTACTCAGGCCAAATTCTTGCAGTTTCCATATGAGCCACAGTGTCAAAAGCCTAGCTTAAGACAAGATGCATCGCATTCACCACTTTCTCCTTATCCACACTAAGCCACTTTCCCTGTGAAGAAAGAAAATTAGATTGGCTTAACATGATTTGTTCTTGACAAATGTGTGTTGACTCTTTTTTATCACCTTATTATCTGGATGGTGCTTACACACGGATTGCTTAATAATTTGTTCTAGTATCTTTCCAAATATCAAGGTTAGACCGACTCGGACGTAATTCCCAAGACCCTCCCCTTCCCCCTTTTTAAAGGATAGATGCTACAATCTGCTCGCAATCTAGCACAGAAAAAGCAGCGTGCCTTGAAGAAAAGTGAGAATTTGTGGACATCGCAATACCTACATTCAGAAATTTAGGCAAGAAACATTTAACTGTTTTCTAGGAAGCGTAGGCCAAAACGGTAAGTTGAATTTATCTTCTGCATTATCTTAGGATGAGACAAAAATAAGCAAAGTCTAGGGTACATGACCAGAAATGAATGTTATATAAACAGCATCATTCATTGTCACAGAAATATGATCGCTGTTATGTAACCTCTCCCAGCCTCCTGCCAGTGGATGATTATTTCCTACAGAGTATTTTCCACTGCTTTGCTCAACAGAGATTTAAGCAAATCAGTAAATAGCTTCCCCCTGCTTCCATTGGGAAGCCGTTGCGTGGCTATATAGCTATCAGGTTGGCCTTACTGAAAACAATAACGTAATGCTGGGTCACGTATTTAATAGCAGCTAATTAGGACAAGTAGGTAGCAGTAACACTACCCCTCCTCTCTTTCTTTCCTTCGGACAACTCCTTCCATCCACAGGTACTACACCTACCTATTCTTCTATTGTTTCTCCTCTGGTTTCTGAATAGCTTGTACTTTGTGTTTCCATTGTAGGCAAGCACACATTAGTACGGGCAGAGGTAACTGGCAAGGCCAGGAATGCCTGACCTTGTATTTTCTGTGTCCTTACACCCAGTCACTCCCATCCTCCTGCTGCCCTCTACCACAGTTACTAGCAGAGGGATAGGTCAAAGAGGCGGCCTTGCAAAAAGGAAGGAGAGCAAGAACACCGTTATATCTAGCTGTGCTGTAATGCCACTGCAGCAGGATGATTTCTTCTTAGCCACAAGGCTGCACTATATGGAGATCTCACCTGTTGACAAATCAAGCAGGATAGGTCTCGTGCAGAGAACAAACTTTTGAGGACCTTCTAAATGCATTGAAAATTTAAAACAATATTTAGGAAGGATTTTTTTTGGATCTAAGGGTAGACACAGGGAACATTTTCATGTGCTTATTTTAAATAGAGATTAAAGAATGCTCAAGCCTGCTTATTTTTAGCAGTTTGAAAAAAACCACTACCTCTTCATAAAATATTTTTGATTCAGAATAAACACAGCTAGAATGCTGCACGGTAACACTTTCAAATTTGTTCACTTAGCTATGAAGGAATGCAACTTCTGCCCTTACCATCACTGATGTTTATGACATAGACACACACGGAGAAATACACACATGCACACAAGCAACTGAACCCAACAAAGCTAAACCTAAACATTATCTAAATACTGTCTAGATGCTTTAGTAAACCTATACTGAAATTCCCAAATACAGACCTTGTCGGTGAAGGTTGAAACCTTGTTAATTCCAACCTGTCACTTCTCTACTTTTCTCCTGATTTACTAATTTAATCCGATCCAGTTTCATTCAAATAATTCTGGTAAACTGATGTGTCTGGAGGAGAATAGACTCTCAAGCTGCTCACATGCCAGCAAATACTCCACTCCTACCACTATTCCAGCTATTTCAGATATGCTCTGCCCATTTCTATTTGCAACATGTTCAAAGAATCAGGGGTTTGCAACCAGCTGAGAATGCACCGAGTTCTCATCATCCCAATGGCTGCAGAGATTTATTTCTTTATACCAACCCTTGCATCTATTGAAATAAATTGGGATTCATTTTGATGTTGACTTCGGATACCCTGTAATCTGCTCTCCCATTCAGATAGTGGCTGGGAGTGAAGCATAGCTGCAGTATCATATGATAAACCCACAGCATGGATAAATGCTGTTTCCCATTCTCCATGCATTTAAATCAGAGGTAGTTGACCTGTTTAGGATATAATCTATTCAGCTAATAAAATCCAGCTGGCACGTAGTAAAACGTTTTAATCCATGATCCATGCATATACTTCTCTAGAAACAAAGATGATTACAGACTGTAGCATATAAAACTTGCCCTGAGCTAGAGAGCCAAAGCCCTTTAGCACAGAGACATTTCTGAATTGTGAACTTTATAAAACCCAACCCATAAGTTCTGCAGATGTAGCTTATTGCTGAGAAAAAGCTAAGATGTTAACTGCCAGTGTTAGCTCATATAAGCTGGTATTTGTAAGAAGTGAGCTGTATAACTTGTATTATTTTTCTCACCTTTCCTGTATAGTAAAACCAAGCTATTGTAAATTAAAGCTTTTTTTTTCTTCTTTTTTTTTTTTCTTCTGTGGATTGTTTTTGAAATTTAATGGATGTGGTTTTGTCCTCTGCCATTTCTAAAAACTGTACAAATCAAAGTGTATTTTGTAAAAGCATTTTACTACCTGTTTAATAACTTTTTAAAAGGTTCTACTATTGCGTCATGGGACTACATATATGGCAAGTCTTCTCCTTCACAGACAAACAAAGAACATACCCAAGTAATGCTTGGTAACATTAATGGCAGTTGCCCTCCTGAAATCCCCTGTGCATTGTAAGTAAAGATATCCAGAAAAGCTAGCTTGCTTGAAACCTGATTTAAAGGCTTCGGGTTTGGACACAGATCCATACAAGCTGTTTAGCAGCCGATTATCCAGACTGTATCAGTTTTCCTTAATTTTATATCTGCTTTTGACTATAATTTTCAGTTGTTTTTATCCAACAGTAGAAAGATATAGAACGCAGATCAAGATAATGCACAGAGGGATGCCTTAGACTGACCACTGACAGCTATTTCCTTCACCTGGCTGCAGACAGACACCACCCAATTCTGAGTATCCACAGTAGGACTTAGCCAGAGGCTTTTCCTTTTGGCATTTCATACTTTGGAGAAGCTTCTTTGCATGCTAATAAAGATGCCAGGAAGACCAGCTGCTCCTAAACAGTTTGCGGGGAAGCAGATATAATTAATTCACAAGTTGGAAGCACATTTGACAGAGAGAATTGTTTTGTTACCCCCAAACAATTGAGAAGCTCATATGTGAAATGTACATGCAAGTACATCTGCTCTCACTTAAATCCCATACATTTAGGCTGTCCTAACTGAAGACACTGTAGACAAGTCTCATAGCTAGCCATGAAGATGATTTGCAGAATAATCTAAATACTGCTGTGCAAGGAAAAGCTTGATCAATAGGCCCCATAAGTTAGGAGCTATGAACTCACGGCACTTTAATGGTTTGTCCAAGAACATTAAGATCAATCAATGTCTGCCCAGCCAGCCATGTTTACCAGGGCCTTGCTCTTCTTTGGGTCATCACAACCATGACTTCCACTAAACTCAATGCTCAAGACTCACAGCAGTAAGAACGTGATTATTTAAGCATTTTCTTCTTGCCTTTTTTTTTCCCCAACCATATTCACATAAACTTGTCACCCATTTGCATACATTTGAACAGTCTTCCTGACTATAAGGCATCTGCACTTTTATGTTCATTTCCCTGACATCTGGAGTGCTATAAATCCAATGCTTCCCTTAGTGTTGTTTTTTTCTTTTTGTCTCTCTCTTTCTCCCCCAAAAAAGTGTTGGCAGTAGTATGGATCAATCCAGCCACATTCAGATCCAAACTCGCTGGAGATTTCCAAGCCTGAATGACTCAAACTGGACCAAAAAGTTAGAGCGGTGGAAAAAATCCACCAGCACTGTCTCTGGAAGGAAAAAAGCAGCGTTACCATTCCATCACAACACGATTCAAAGGAAAATATTGACAAAGGAAGAAGTCAAGAGATTAGATACATGGCTAATGTTGCTTCAGAGCACTTGGGAAGAGCTATGACCTGTTCTCACCTACTTCTGCTACCTCCTTGCTGGCTTCAGCAGGTGTTGATACCGGTACCCAAGGGGAAACACATCTCAGGAGGGTCCAGGCTGAGGGATGGAGCACTGCTACAGCTTCCCTTCATCTCTCCCTTTGGACCACGAGACAGGTAAGAGATCACCCCACTGCTGAGTGTGGGATACTGGACACTGCACAGTGAGCGTGGAAGCTCTGTGTTTGTTTAACGGGCACGTTTAGAGTAGCCAAGCACCCAATAGGGCCAAACGAGAACTGCTCCGTAGATCTCCAAGGTATTGCAACACACAATGCAAATGTACAATTAAGTTTTGCAAATCTGGCCAGACACCAAAGGCTTTGAAGTTGGCTGAACACAAAGTTCCCTGATTCTTCCCCTGACTCTCAGCTTTCCCTGCAGACTGAAGCAAAAAGTACAGATAATACAAGGCTGCTCATTCTTCTGTTGCCCGAACACTGATCTATTTTTCTTGCTCCGCTGGGACGGATGAAATAAGAGAAATGAAAACAGGGCCAGTCTGGTGTCTGTTGAGGGATCATCTCTTACTAACCAAGAAATGGCAAAATCCTCCTAAAGGTTCTTTGGGGAATATTTATTTTGTCCCGTGCTTTTACTGTAATTGTGTTAATCCAGTAGATTTGCTAAGCAGTAAAGCGTTAACTGGCATGTCTGAGGAATGCTTATTGGGTAATGCGTCTGCATGGGAAGAAGACTGAAAACGTAGTTTACATAAGGGTGTGGACCATATGTGACAAAGAATACATTATGGTATATGTTTCCTTCATGGTAAAATATGATGAGGTAATGGGGAGCAGGGTTAAAAGCTGAAGAGCCTATATTTATGTGTCAAGTTCAAGAGGTCGTTTTAATTTCTAGAGCCGATCAATGATGACAAACTTCAGCTCTGCTTCTGTGCACGCTCCAGTAGCCTGGGAGGGGTAACTACCATGTGTCCATCCACCTACCGAGCGCTCCTGTGCTGGGCTGCTTCTGTTCCCTTAACCTGGCATTGGAAGTGGAAAACATCGTGCCAGGCACTGCAGAAAAGGCAAGTGAAAAGGGAAAAGAGTGAAGTTAAATTGCGTGAACTGACAACAATGAAAAATCGGGGTGCTAGATCACACCTGCAGCCGTTTTGTGCATCACTCACCTTCAAGTCTTCCCTACACGTAGGCAACCTCTTATCCGACCCTACAAGCTGCGGGGTACATCAGGGGAGCGTTCCCAGTTTCCTTTTCTCTCCCTACCACGTTACGCTGCCCACAGCCTCCAGGATCACACAGGATCCCCAGAGCCCACAGCTTCTTTTCTTCTTCCTTCCCTTCTTTGCTGTTGTTGGCTGCTCTCACTGCTAGGGCTCAAGTCCTGTCAGCAGAAGCTTTGCAGCGGATGCACGGGGAACCTGCCTAACGTGCTACGAACTGACACCGTTCCAGCAGTAGCCAGTGGTCTCACATAACGCAGTTATTTTTTCCAGGCCTGTTTTCTTCTTCCAGCTGAGCTCCCAAAAGGCAGCGATGCTTTAATAGACCCACACAGTGAAAAAAAAAGAGCAACAACAGCATCCAAAAAGCTTTTGTTCGTTATTGCATCCAGCCCTTCTGGAGTGCTGAGACAAACTGGAGGGCGAGCTTGGCCAGGGCTTCCTGCCTGAAGCGCTGCTAGTGCCTGACAAAGGCTTCACATGTTGGAGCTGCCCTGCTTTCCACTGCGTTACCTGAGAGGTAACGAGGAAGGTGGTGGGCAAACAAGGGTAGCAAACGATGTGGGGTCTCAGACACTTGCCCCTTTCTCTCCCTTCCTTTGGCACAAGGACACCTGGCCATCTCTGCAGATGCCACATGCACAAGAGTTTTGTAAAGCATGGGGAAAGCCTGGGCAGCAGTAAGAGAGGACAAAATCCAGGGTTTAGGAACCACAGAATGACTTTTTTATTCTTGTTTTTTGAAACAACCTCAGAGGACCTTCCCTTCCAGCAGGATCAAAGGCTCTAGAAGCCTTTGCTGCTTCTGGAAAGCTCTGCTGAGAGGTTTTCAAATCCACATTGACCAGAAGCGCAATAAGCAATTTCCATCACCTGCAGAGCCCTGGCTTACAGTACAGCGAGCAGCCTGGGGCCAAGCCTGGTCCACACTAGATACAAGAAACAACCTGAGAAACTGCCAAGGTGAGAGCCTGCCTGATCCACAAGAAGTCTCACCAAATGCAAAGCCAATAATGGAGATGCCAAAGGTTTGCATGGGCACAGCTGTGCTGAAAGGCTGCCCGTTCTGTGGCTTCCTCCTTCTCACCATAAAAAAAACAAAGCTGCAAAAAACAATCCCTTAACACCTACAAGGCTCCATACACGCAGCTACCTACATGCAGCATGTACATCTGCCTCCCCTTCATCCCTTCCACCTCCCCAGGCTATGGGCACAGAGCCCCAGATGAGCAGTTTCAATTGCTTGAACAATGATCTTGGAAGTAAAATATTTCCCTCATCGCCACAAATCTTTATAAGTAGCGAAATAAACACCACAACATGCCTTCTTCCAACAGCTGGAAAATTATGGTCTGACTTAAATGACATCATTCTGTTTTCCTATGGAATTTCAGCGCTGGGAGATTTCAGGGAGGAACTGCATGGTGGCTCGAGTCGGGGTGCAAGACGGTGTCGCAGCAAAGCAGGCAAACCAGAAGAGGGTGAAGCTGTCTTAAATAGGCCAAACAAATGTTCCCAGAAAAGAAAAAAGAAAAAAAAAGAAAGAAAAAAAAAAAGGAAAGATTTCTTAAAAACCAATCAGACAGGCTGCTCTTTTGGCTCACAGTCATTCCTCAGTTCCAGCCTTCAGCAGCCCCGTCCCATCTCTAACCTATGACACGACGTTGCTTCTCGTCATCTCATATTGTTCTTCCCCTCTGTCTTACTAAGCCACTGAAACAAAGATATGGAAGACGTACCCCAGTGAGGAAATACCTCTGTCAGAGCAGCTATGCAATTCTGGCAGCTCTTCAAAGGATACAGCGCTGGATCTACACCCTTAATTATATGCTCAATTGTGGATGTCATCAGAAGGCGTGGGACCATACCGGGTGCACTGCAATCCCCTTCGTTGCATGGAGGCTTGATGGAAAAGAAAGGCTTGGTCCCAGCAAGATCCAGAGCCAAGTCCTGAAGCGTGACTCTAGAGCAGAAGACAGACTGCAAAACGTGAGGTGGTAACAGAGGCAGAAATTGCACGTGGCCAGTTGCTGAGAAGAGACAATCACCAACTTCTAGCAGGAAGTGGAGGCTCAGGTTTCCTGTGTCACCACATTCAGAGATGCAGGGTTCAGCTAATTTCTGTGCTAAGCTTAGATCAACGTGCAAATAAAAATTAAAAAAAAATAAAAAATAAAAAAAAAAAAACACTTTTCTTCCCTCCTCTCCCCTGCTTTGCTTTCCAATTCCTTACCGTGCCATGGCCTCACCAGCAGTAAGACATCCAGAGCTCTGTGATTTTCATCAGCAAGCCCCAGCATCGTTACAGGTTTGGTCAGCAGCTCTGAAAGCTTCTCAAGCACAATTCTAACTCGGTAGTAGGCAGTACAGTTGGGCACTTCATAGATGGATCCAAAAATCACTGAAGCCAGACAAATTCTGAATTGTCCTTGGCAATCCCTGCTTCGCTGTAAAACTACCTACTTATTCCAAATTGCAGTTGTGGGAAAACAGCAGCAGCGCTGGTGCTGACTTCAGGTAGTAATCAGGCTGAACACAAAATCAGAAATGAAAAAGGGCAGAAGAAAATGAGAAACATGGAAGACTGCTTTGCTGAAATTCCTTATCTGTTTAACTCCTATAGAAGGCCTTGAAAAATCTTTTCAGCGTTCCTGAAACAACCCAAACTTCAGTAGCTCTGGTTTCTATAAACCTTCTTACTTCCTCCTCTTGACCCTCCTCATTTTCCCTCTTCTGTTGAATAGTCCTATATTTAACCCAGGACACCAAAAAAGCCAAAGTGTGTGTTAAAACTTCCTCCAAACCAGGAATAACACCTGCCCCTACCTTGCCAAGTTTTTCTAAATCCTTTTTTGTCATGCAAAAGAATGGACATTGTACGTTCAAACCTGAAATTCCATACATTTGTTAACTTTGCTTGCTGTTATTATTTATAAGCAATTCCACCAACTTATTAACTTTCAATTGCCATAACTGCTTAGTGGGGTCGAGAAGAAAGAGCAGTGCTTCAATACTTCAACAATGAGGAACGAAATTGATGTATAAATGTGCATATCACTTTAATGTAGCCAGCCCTATATATACACATAATTTTGTGTGATTTATATCCCTAATTAGATTCCCATGGCAACATTCTTCAGCTAACAATGTGTATCATAATCACCTTTTCTTCATACAAATGATTTCCTTAACTTTGCATGCATAACTTAGCAGCTTTTATTTTTAAAACTCGTGTTAACAGTTTCTCTCTTGTTACCAGTAGGGGTGCTATGATAAGAAACTAATTTGCTGTAAAAATTACTCATTTGTCAAATAAGCATTAAAATAATTGTTCCCCTTTTGACTGTTACCCTGCTGTTTCCAGTCATTTTCAAAAACTAAATTATTTACTCATTTGAAAGTTCAGCTGTGCATATTTTAATTGATATTCCCTCATAGGACTCATATTGTTAATGACAATAATTAACCCGAAATGGCTGCTAAATAATTATGCTGAAAAGATACGAAGTATTTGTGCAGAAAGTAAAATCAGCATTTGAGAAACCATCAAAACGTACAACTTTCCTATTTTATGGCAAAGCGCAGTAATAGTTCATAATCAAATTAAGGATGAAAAGGAAAAATGTAGATTACATGCTTTGATGCAGAATACTTTATGTTTCCAATATAGTATGGTATTCTAGCTAACAATGAGTACTCAGTCATTTTAATAAATCCCTAGTATTGCTATTCCAGATAGTAATATAAAGTATTCTCATGAAGTCAGTGCAGTTAGGAATGTGGTAAACTATCCATTAATAATATTTCTGTGCCATCTATCTCTTGCATTTCATTCCAAGGAATCAGACCCCTGTAATAATTTATAGCTTATGGAATTAATGCTGAAGGCTCTCTTCTGGCAAGCGTTGTTGATTTCAGTGATGATAGCTAAAAGCTATTCAGACCCAGCTTCTTTCTCTGGACACACCACGGGCCAGATGCATTACCGACCTATTGTTTGCGTAACCATTTCTACTAGCACAGAAGTGATATCATTTTTGATTTAGTTTCTTCGCTTGTCAATAGTGCAAGTTAAGGGTGAAGCAAGCTCCATATGTACTGCGAAATAAAGAGACAGGATAGGTTTGTCTACAAGGGAAACAATCTGAGTTAACTAAGGATGTGATTTTAATGTGGGTTTCTATATACAACTATATTAAGCCCATGTGGACTCACTCATTCAGAATTAAAATAGCCCTAATTCACTTTAATCTAATTCACTTCCAAAGACCACAGAGGGGTTTAAAGTTGTTTAATCTATTTGAACAGCTCATTTGAATCCACATGCCTGACTGTCCCCACAGACACCCACACAGACAAACAAAAACCCAATAAAGCAGTGGTGAGGTTAAGAGCATGTTGGCAGAAAGTTTGACTTCATGGCTTTTTGACGGAAAATTTGGTTTTCAACTATACCGTCTCTTTGAAGAAGGTGTTGACATCGAGTGCTCTAAATTTCTCTTGGAAACTAAATTCCCTTTCTTAAAGGCATCCCAAAATGCTGCCGCAGTGCTCCTTGGCTGAATGTCACACATCCCCATCGCCTGCAGACTGAGCAGCTGGCCTGACGCGCCAGGGTGCCAAGCAAAGGGGTAAAACCCAGGCGCATCAGACATATATTCTTGCTCCAGACCAATTTCCCTATTTTAGACCAAAACGTTTCTGGTTTTGGTTTGTTATAGAAAATTCATGATTTTGCATGGAAGAATAACACTCACTCCCTCATCTCCTGCCTCAGGTCAGTCCTACACGAAAAGGCCTTTTCCCACAGCCCATGCCAACGGAGCATCCCTAAATCAGAAGGGTAGGTGCTACTGGCAATAAAGCCAAACGCTTGTCATCTATTTGGAGAACATTCCCTATATCATGGGTGCTAAGCTCTTCTAATAAGGATGCATCTGAACTCACAGCTTAAGTGTTTAAAAGTCACCAGCTCCTTACATTTTGCTCTGTTTCAGGACAGGGTAGGCTTGAAGGAAACACAGGGGCTCTGCTCACAGGCTCAGGCTGGTGCTCTGCAGCTGATGCATGGGAGCATTGGTTGGTCACATTCCTGCTTCTGTACAAGGTTTTGCAAAACAAATGATCTTCTATGAGCGAGTTTTCTAGATTTGAGAAGCAAGTAGTGTCTAGCTCACACGTATGTTGTGGATTATGCATAGATGTGTTGCCAACCTTTGCAATTTTTAGTGCGTTCACTGCAGAGGTTGCTCTCTAAGAATCAAATGGTTGCATGAGACTTAAAATAAGCAAATGTATATTCTTTGCTAGAAAAGAAAGAAAAAAATTCTCACCTGAGTGAACTCCAGAGCTTCCAAAAATACACATATACAGAAAAAAAGAAGTCTGCTGCTTTTGAAAAGGTAATTCCTAATTTGTGAATGCCCTCAGTTACTAAAATGCTTCATTGCATCGATTTAAATACTCCTGGTCAGAGAATGTTAATATGAACACGTCTTATCCACTTAAATCGCCTCCCCAATTCCTGTATGTTTTCACATGCAAAACCCCAGAGGTACACGTGTAATCAGCAGCATTCAGAGCTCGAGCATGCCTCTCTGAAAGCTTGGCTTGATAACTACCTTCCACATCTACTAAGTTACATTTTGGATTTTGAAATCAAGCACAAATAGCCAACAGACGAAGAGCATATTTATGAAAAAAAGAATGTTCTCCTATTAATTGCTCAACCTATTGCTGTCTGAAAAATAAGTGCAAGCTATTACTGGCACCAGATGACTCCCAGTTTTCACTGGCCAGCAAAGCTGCATCTGTAAGTTCAGTGAGATCAGTAAACACTGTAGGTTAAGTAACTGGTTACTAATATTTTCCTTGAGCTACAAAACTTTTAAACAAACAACAACTGTGATCGCAGTAACCTTCCAGAGGTTAACAGCATGCAGGTGGTCAAATTGAATTAAATGCAAAACAGACGGCGGCAGCATTGTAAACTGAAGATCTCGGTTAAGTTTGGTTCAGGAATTGGGTCTTCTTTCTCAAAATCCTCAACGATACAACACATAAATGTCAAAATGACAAAAATAAGGAAGTATGTCATAGACTAAGCATTTTAATGCCCTTTCTGGCTCACTTTTGTAGGCTGAGCTGTCTGTGTTGACCACATTTGATGGCATCAGTACTTGAGAGTGGCTGTGTGCACGAGCTTTTAATAGCTGAAATAAACGGAGGCGGCCCATCAAGTACTTTTCAATCACTACCTGAAATGTGCTGTGGGCTTGTGTTTTAAACCACTGGCATGATGCATTTTATACTTCATTTATGATGCCCCTTGGCAGACCCCATGAGATAGCTCTAAGTATTGGCAATAAGATACCGAACTACAAACAGGTTCAAAGCCAGCTAGTTTAGGTATGAGCGATTAGAAAGGATTATTCCCATCCTCCCAGTGACCTCTCTAAAGCCAGCCCCTCAGTCACCACCAAGAAAGCTCCCTGGGAGGTCTCCCCAAAACAAGTGCAGATTAAAGAGCAGCAGGAGCTGAGATCTCCACAGCCCAAGAGAAATGTTTTCTCCAAGGCCAACAGAGCCCGTGAGGGGAATCTGGGTGTATCGGCACTGCTAGGGCCTCCTCTAAGGAGAGCACATAAAAGCTCCTGGTGTAGCTCCCAGACACACCTTGCAGGCGCTCAGTTTCAAACCAGAACAGAACAATTGTTGCTGGAATGGAAAGTAAAAACAGAGGAGAACCACTGAGAAGTCCTCCATCCCACGCTGAGCTTTGGACAGTTCAGTCCACAAAGCAGCTGCACTAAGGCCTTTTAGTGAAGTGATTTCCAAAGCCAGGCGCTCCCCTCTGGGGCCCCCTGCCCACTCACTTGCCTACCTGAACAGCACGGCTGCGAGCCAGCTAATGCCATGAGCCCAGGGCACGCAGGAGCTGCCACCACGAGGGACACAAGGGGAAAATGTTGCAGAACTGAGTTGCTGCATAAACGTACAGGCAGCCAGCACATGGACTCTGTAGAAAAGCAGGCGCAGTTCTGAAATTTGACATTACTCAGAGGTTCGCATTCAAGTTGAGTGGCTGCCAGTAAATAAATATAAATCCGTTGTCAGGGTGTTTCATAATGACAAGCTCCTCAAAGCTAGTAATACTCATCCCCTGATGAAGCAATATCCCTCTAGGTACAATTGCTTCTCAGGCTGCAATATCAGCTCCCAAACTACTGTGCCGGAGCTCAACCCAGGGCATGAGTCAGAGGAGGCTGCAGCACCCTCAAACACAGCAGCATGGTGCGAGCAAGGTCAGGGCGCTTGGCATCCGCACATCTTCCAGGGGCTGCTTCAAACAAGTCTGGGGGAACAGTGAAGTTACAGATATGTTGCAGAACAGTGATACAAGATTCCCATCTAGTGCATTAAAACACACAAACGTTCTTTGGCTGTGCTGCTGAAGACAGGCATTTTCTTGGCACGTGCGTCCTACCCCATCACTGGCAACCCCTTCCCATGTCCTCCACCGTGCAGCTGTACTTGGGGCTGATCACGGCTGCACACATGCACATCACATAAATACAAATCCCAGCTGGCCAGCCTGGGTGGCAGGCTGCACCCTCTTCCTACTGCTCGGCAGCAAGTTTTCAGGAAACTTACAGGAATTTCATTACCTGCATAAAATCCAGCTTAAATTGGCCAGTTCAGGAGTTAGTAGGGAAAACAAACACACGAACAAGCTTTTGACACGCTTGTGAGGTCTCCTAGTTCAACAAACACTCAGTCACAATTGATTAAAACAATTAAGCAACAAAAATTTTGAACCTCTTAAAATGCAGATCAACCTGCAGTGCAATGAATGCCCAGTATTATCCATTTATTTTCCTAAACACACCTCTGTTTTCTTTGCCATTTATTTGTTCAATGTGCCTCTAATTTCAGCTGGAAAGAAACAGAACCGAAATGCTCCTCCAAAAACACCGCTTTCTTGTTCTCAGTGATTTCTCATCACCGAGAAATTGCAGGAATAAGATTTTGTGTCTCACCTGAAGCAACGGACCCTTGATTCCTTAATGATGCGATAATTCTGTTACAGGCAGCAACTTTGGCTTCAGCTCCAAGGCAAGAACGTGTAGCAACGGCCTGCACACCAGGAAGGAATAGTTTTCAGCCTCTCCAGCCTCACCCTGCATTACCTGTGAGTGATGCATTACCCAACTGAATGCCAGAAAAGTGCATTTTAGAATAAAAAGTATAGTGTTTCCTAATTTGATTTAAATCAATTATACCATCTCTCACTGGAACGCTCATGAGCTTCAGAAATAAAATATATAAATGGAACCAGCTGCTCCAAAGACTCTTTCCTTGGGATAGATTTCACTTGAACCCAATCAGCTTTCTTTTGCAACACGTTATTGTCATGCACCATCAGAGTGGAGAGCACGCAGGGCTGGATGAGTTACTGCAAGGTAACCAGCTATGGTTGGAAAAAAAAAATAAATAAGATTAAAATTCTTTCCTGCAATGGCTGACTAAACCCCGAGGAATTAATTAATTCCTCTGGGGCTGACAGGGAAACTGAGGTAGTTACTGGCACCCTAGCAAAACCCATTAATTTATAGCTTGTTACTGCATTGCGTAATCTTTCTGATTTGTCCCAGCCTGGAGCCCCTCTGCCCACCAGCATGGAGGTCTGCAGTGGTCAGGATGGAGAATAATTACAAGTGGAGGAGCACATGCAACCAAAGCCCCATGCTCTTTAATCTCCAAGTATAATGCATGTGTAGATTTTGGCATCGCTCTTAAAATGATTGTTTGTAACTAAATAGCGTATCTCAGTGCTTAGATACCACGACGACTGATCTTTTCACAAATCAGAGTAAATATATATGGCCAAATCCCGGCTCTACTGAGCTCAGTGGGAGCAGTGCCAGCCACTTCAAGGCAGCCAGGGTTTCATGCACAGGGTTTTCAGCAGCCCGTGCCGTCCAATGCTTTGGTTGTTTTTTTTTCAGCATTTTCAATTCCTTTTCTCCTCAAGCCTTCTTTTCCCATCCAGCATCTCCAGTGCGGCTGTGCCGAGATGCAAGTGCATGCTGAACTCCCAGCCAAAGCACATCAATATGAAAATACCCTCTGTTAAAATGAAATACAATTCTAGCTTCAGCTGACAAAAGCATCCTCTGCCTTTGATTCACTCTGCCAGGCTGCCCACAGCCCTCACTCCCGAGGCAGCAGCCAGAGGAGGGCTGCTCAAGGACTGCTTGTTTTACAGGGTGACAGATGAGTCTGCGACGGTCCAGGCCAGAGTAGAGTTAGGGAGGTAATGACAGCCTTTACTCTCTATTTCCCTGCTTTTGTCAATTCAAACCAAACCAGATTTCCTCACTTTCTCGCTGTCTCCCTGGAAAACAATCCTCGTCAGCGTCTCTAAACAGGGTCAGGATAAATTAAAGGCAATTGCTCTCAGGCACTGCTCCATTAAGCCACGCCAGGGGTCTCTGAGGGCTCCTCTGCCATGAATCACACTCCTCTGGGACACAACTTCGTACACCAACCACCCAGCTCCCTCCCAGCACTGCACAGGTGGGTGGCAAAACCAAGAGCACCGAGCACTCCTTCCCTCTGTAGCACTCCTCCGGTAGCAGCAGGTAACAAAAGGAGCTCTGAGGGACAGCCCCATCCCCTGAGGTGACACCCGTGAATTCCCCCGGGCTCTCTGCGTACCCAGGAGGAGCCCCCACACCCATCTGACAAAAGCAAGCAGCCCGCCAACATAAGCGAGCGAGAGCTGCCAAGCAGCAGTAGGCAAAGAAGGCAGCAGAGGGCATTAAGTACCACTGCAACCATCTCTAATGTGGCTTTTAGGACTCGTATCTTTTTAGAGCTCATTTTGAAAACATGCAAAGAAAAAAAGGAAAACTCCACATCTCCTTTTTCTATTTTTTTTAAGCTCTGTCCTTAAAGAAGTCAGCACTTTCTGAGGCAGCTACTCATGCAGCTCCCCTTACTGCATCGTCCAAATGTCCAATGTCCCTCGGTAGACCCACACGTGCGACTTCACAGTAAGCAAATACCTCATTTTACAGCTAGAGTACTGTGACAAAGAAAGGCACAGAATCTGTCATCTTAACGATATAATGCACCCACACCTGAATGTGAGATGATTTCCACAGCTACCACATGCTTAATTTTCACTGACCCCAATAATTTATCATGCAAAAATAGGTATTCTGTGCAATAACTATTGACTTAGGAGAGTCAAGTGAAATACCGACTTAGTCACTAACGGGCTAACAAAGTCTGTTTGCATTAATGCACTTACAGACTTGCATTCGTAAGCAGTCAATACCAGAAATGTGTTTGTATAGGATTAACAATGTCAAATTAATATGTATGACAAGACAGCAGCTGCTGTAACTTGACTAAAGCTAAAATGAAGACGTAAATCCAAATGGTCTTGTGAATGAAGAGAGAAAAGGAGGACGGAACAGAAAAAGACAGCATGAAGAAATCAAGAAGGAGCTAATGTGCTCTTTACCAGTAGGCAGAGCAAGTTAAAAAGGCGATTCCCTTCCTTTACCAGAAAAAATTGAAAATGTAGATCCTATGGCTAAAATACTCAAAGTAATCACTAACAAACAAAATTATTTTGGAGAATAATAGATTATAATAATAAGTCTTGACTAAAGAAAGTTATTTTTTTTTCTTAAGGACAATAAAGTTTTTTTGTTTTTTTTTTTTCTTAGGCAAAGTGGGTCAAAGAAGCAAATGTTCAGTTTATTCTGAGCAACATTTTTTTTCAATGAAAAATGGAAGCGTGAGGCTTCCCCCAACAACAATATCACAGAGAGGGGACAGGAATTTTCTAAAATTTGAAGGGCAACTCCCCTGAAAAGCATGTCTGAGCTGGTCACCTCTGTAGAATGAGGCAGGGCTGAGTGAAAGCAGAAAAAGGGTTTTCCAAGAAACACGCTTCAGTCTTCAAGAAACAGCGATGTTAGTCAAACGTGTCCTGAAAACCACCTTGTATTTAACTGCACGGACCTACAAACCCACTGTTGTTATAACACTTTTGACGGCTGGGGGCACAACACAATCCAAACCATATAAAAAAATGTTGGATAGATGTGGACCTCTTCTCCAAAACCCCATCCCATTCCAAATCTCAGCACTGGACGTTTTGTCTTTCGCAGTATCCAAGCTAAACACCCGACTGGCTCAACCGAGCTGTGAGCTCCACCCCTACTTTCAGCGGTGGAGATGGCATTCAAGGACCATATGGCAGTAGGCGACAGCCAACGCAAACATCGTATTTCCTTAGAAAATACCAGCAGAGGACTGAGAAATATGGTCCGGAGCCAACTTGCAGAGGAAGAACCATTACGAAAACCACCACATGGATTTCATATCCCATCAGGTTCCTCGTATTGGAACGTGTGCTATTGAACTTTTTTCTGGTCTGGGGAATAACAGGAATTAAGCTTCCACCCATTTTGCCAAAAGACCTGCAAGGTTGTTTATAATAGAGTCTGAAAGCAACCTCCCTCTTCTTTACATGACAGAGTGCTACAGAAATTAAATAGGATCAAGAGGGCTTTAGGCATGCCTCTTAAATGCATACTGCAGAAGTAACAGGTGAATATTAACCAGAGCTTTATAAACTTCTCTGATGGGACAACTCTCCCATCTTACCAAAAAGGGAACTAAAGGCAAGGCTAAAAGCTGAACTGGGACCTACTGGGAAGGCCATGAAGAAACAAAAGAAAAACACATATAATTAAGAATCCCTTCCCTCACTTTTTTATTTTATTTACACTTTCCTTTTCTCAGCCTCCAACATACAGAGAAGCAGAGATGCTCCCCTGAAACCCACACTTCCACATTCACCAACCACCATGGAAAGCTGTGTGAAACTTTTCTTGTGCCCTCAGGAAGCTGATGAAGTTTGAAAAGAAATAAAGCACGCAACTTTATTGAGGTCGGCGCAAGCCCAGAGACTTGCAAGTTGCATGTCACCGTTAATCAAAGTGACTGTGCCAACACGATTAGAATACCCCCAAAGCCCAGCCAATGAAGCAGCTAACTGAGTGAGACCACGGAGCAGATCGCAAATACCACTGGAGTTGTACATTGTCTCAAAAGATTATCACTGCAGTTGTTCAAACTCTTGTGACCAACAAGGGATTCCAGTGACTCATTGCTATTGTGTTCCTGCAGCTCAACACTATGTCCCATGCATATTCGGGGGCTCCATAGCACCACATGTGTATAACAATGTGCCGCACTTAATAAAATATCTTTGCGGGAAAAGTACCACCAAAAATATTTGCACAATAGGAGAATGCCAATCGAGCACTGGACTACATTAGAACAACTCATTGGGTGTCATTCCAAACAGCATCTGCCATGGCCCCAGGAAGTAATTAAAAAAAAAAAATAGAAATAAGAGATTTTTCTGAAAGATCACAGCTTTTAACATACTAAGGAAACTTCAAGAACAAATTAACATATGACTCACCTCCCTGAGGTCTATCCCATGGTTTCATTATCAGTCAAGCAGAATCCATTGTTCCGAAAGTAGTTCAAAGCAGCCACTCCGTCCATGTGCCATGCTCGATACACAGCGAGTCTTCACGTACAGTTTTGTTAAAAAAGAGGAGGCAGGCAGGATAGCATTTAAAAAGAAAACAAACAATCCCCTTCACACTGCAGTTGGAAAGGCCAGGAAAAGCCCGTACAAGTCAGTTAAGGGCTAGGAAAGAAGATGGTTGCTTTTCAGATGATCTTAAAACTTTCCCAAGAAAATTAGGGCCTGCAGCTGGGGCATACCAATCAGATGCTCTGGCAAAGGTCACAGAAGGAAAGATCCCCTGCTAGTTCAATAGCAGTGGTTTCTTCAATAATCTCAAAACAACGAATAGCATGGGATCGCTTCTTCCCCTGCGGGATTTGGGCAGGAAAATAAGGCCCACATCTTAACTGCTGTCCTCCCGGGCGCATCGCTGCAGAGCAGAGCGGAGCATCCTCTTCAGAGTGCAGGAGCCAGGCACACTGAAATGGAAATGACAGGCTTAATTGACAACCTGGAAAGGAATCATGGAGGAGTCCCATCCAAAAGACACAGCTTGGGCTCCTGCCACAGCTAAAGAGGCAGATGTAACTTCTGACACTGACAAGTGCTGACTGTAATATCAGATGAAGGTAAGAGATAACAGGGAAACCCTCTGTACATCAATCATGTCATGGAAAGAAGGCACCACGTGTGGCAAGAATCTAGGCTGAGTTAAAGGTTAAAAGAAAGGAAGCATGACATTAGGCTTTCCCTTGAATAATTGAGGGGAGGGAGGCAGGCAGCCCTGCATTTTCTGCTTACAGTCCTGATAGAAAACTGCATGTGCAAACAGAGGGTGCTCTAACATTAGATTTGGTCTGCTGAAGGATGGGCAAGCAGCGGGTGGGAGCCCTGCAAGAGGAAGGACACATCTCGAGGGATGCTGCTCCTTCCCTTCTTCTCCCCCAGCTGATGCTGTGACAGGAGCCCCTGCATGCTGGGCAAGGACTGCACTGAAAATATTGCTGCTCTTCTCTTTCCTGATTTTTTTTTTCTTCTTTTTTCTTTTTCTTTTTTTTTTTTTCTCCATCTTTTTCTTTCCCTCCTACCCCCAAACCAGGTGGAAAAAAAGAGCAGTTGGCCTCGAGTTGAGCAAATGAGCATCCCACTACCAGGAAGAGCATTTTCAAAACCCTGTTCTGTGAGAACAAGCAAGGTACAAGGAGCCTTAGGGGTGATGGCAGTGCTATCGTACACATGGACCTTCTCCTGAATAACCAGCCCTTTCTCTCTGCCCGCACACCAGCCACCAAAGACCCCAGTGTCTTCCACTCTCTTGTGGACATCCGTGTCCCCCAGTGAGTAACTACTTGCCACCACTGCACTATCCAAAAGCCCAAAATCTGGCACAAATATTATGCTGAGAATCAAGCTCTTCATGATAGATATTAAGAAGTAGTAGCTAAAAGGATAGATATAACAGAGCAGAGCTTCACAGCTTTCTTTGTGGTCCTCCACTTCCACAGAGGCACAGAGCATCCTGCTCACGCTATTCCACAAAAGCATCCAAAATATAAAAAGCTTAAAGGGAACTTCTCAAACCTTAAAGCACCACTGAAGTTTACCATGCAAGGTGCGCTCTGCATGCATATAGAACAGAAGCCCTGCAACGCACAAAGCTTTCTACAGATATTCAAGAGACCCTTTCAACTTCTATTCACTTAAGCAAAACATCACTGAGGCAATGTTAATCCTCTTGTTTACAGTTACACCCACAAAAGAAAGGGGATTCACAGCTCTAGATCAAACAGATACACTGACGGGGAGCTATTTAACATCACTAAGGATAGCATCCTATAATTGCTGTATCAAGAGGTTGGATCTTTCAACACAGGTTTTGCTTTTAAAAAAGAAAGGAAATGGGGAACTTCGTTCGACTTTGTTTTTTTGCCTCAACCTCATACATAGCTTCAACTTAAACCCAAACCGATAGCAGCAAGTACCAATTTACCAACTGCTCTGGGGGTTCAGATCGTCAGAAAAGTATACAAAAGAGGCAATGCAGTTAATGCAACATCAAAGTATAGAGCAACCAACTGCAGCTGCACACCCAGATACACACATTTATTTTAACATCAAGGGCATGTAGATAACAGGAGAAGAGTTCCTGAGGAGCTCAGCGCAAAACATAATCCTTTACCATACGGCCCTGAGCATCCTCCAGTTTATGTACAAGATCTTATTGCCCTCCACAGAGCATACTCTGGGCAACACCGGCTGCCTGCACTTGCTGAAACTGCAATCACACTACTGTCAGGGGGAAGTTTTCCAAGCAGCCTTAGCCCTGGTAGATCAAGAAAGGTGTCTTAGCTGTATAAAATAGACACCCAGACACACACGGTCCAAATCTGGGACCTCTTGTAGCTTTTACTGCATTTGAATAGAAGCTAGGCTTGGTACTTCCATTCTTGATGGCAGCTGGAGGCTCAGAGCGAATGCCAGACTACTGAAAATTCTCTAAACTAATTAAAAAGGAGAAAATCTGACTCCAATTTCCACCAAAGTTAATCAACCTCCTCACCAGAAGTCACCACAAAGCCCACGAGACGTGCTTGAACCCTTTCAGTATCAGTCTACACACAACTGTAGGATTCGTGGTAATAGAAGGTATCCTTACATCCTGATAATCTCCAAGACGAACAAAAAAAAAAAAAAAAAAAAAAAAAATAGAAGGAAGTTTGAAAACAGCCAAAAAACAGTAGAATTTTGCTAGCAACTTCACTAGAATAATCCCTGTTGCATTAAAATCCCAGTGACGCAGCTCCTCTGTGCCCTTGAGAAACCCCATTCACTTTTAGCAGCTGAGGCACTTAAGACCTACAACATAAAGCAATTGGCTTTTGAATGCAGGTTGCTTCATTTTAAAACATTACTGCTCTTTGATGTTTATCTGTTTAAGAGAGTTTATTGCAGCTAATTCACAGCAGGAGTGCCCTGTGGCATCCTCAAAAATTATATTAAAAATATAAAAGATAAGAAAGGAAAACATAATAATTATATAATCTAATTTTTTATGGCTGCACAACAAAAATTAAATCCTAATTTTGTAATGTATATGCATAGAACTATTTCTGACACATACCAAAAGCATGAAGCCATCGTACACAGGGCTTTTTATTGGAAAGTCTGACAAACTGAAACAGCAAGAGGCCCAATCCCATATTAGCTGGGTTTCAACTTTATTTAGAAAATGAGCTGCAAGGATAAGCCAGAAACATATGGATGGAAGGCTGTTATCCGCAAACAGAGTCAATGTGCAAATGGCATTTTTTGATTTACTAGAAATAATACTACAGCAACTGCTGCAGTCACTCCCCCGCACCACTTACATTAAATTCACTGCTGACTAAAAATCGCACTTTTTTGTAATTGCATTTACTCCATTTCCTTATGCCACCTGATGGATGTCAGCTGCAACTGCGTGCCCAAGCCAAAGCCATCACTGGAGCTCTTTGGGGATATTTTGGCTCTTTTGGGCCATGGCAGCAATTTGCCTCACCCCAAAGGGGGCATGTGGGAGAACTCCCTGAACAACTCGAGACACTAGCATATGGACTGCTCTGGTGCACATCCTCATTTGCACAGGGTGTTACTGAAGGTGGGCATAGCAGCCTTGCAAATGTATTCAGAATCAAACCAAGCTGTTACGAGCTGAACACTGCACGGTGCCAAGCCCAAGGTAACGTACACTTGGTAGAAAACAAGTATCATCACCATGCTGTTAACGTTGACTGAACCTTTGGGAGGCAGAAACTTGAGGACCACATCTCGCTTTGTTGTTTTCTTCCCCAAGTAATGACCTTTGTGCAGCTTCAGTATGGATTAACTGTGAGAAGGTGCTCTCTAATTCCAGTTACAAGCACCAAATAAAAGGTTGTAGACTGCAAAACACACTAGAAATCTGCTATAAAAATCAAACACTCCCCTGGACCAATGCCTTCCACAGTCATGGCATACAGAAGAAGTAGAGAGAGGCACACTACACCAAGCAGAATGAAGCTCCATGGGATCCTGTTGCAAAGAAGCTTTCAGAAAGCATCAACTGACAGATCTTCCACCGAGTAAATCCATCTCCACACAACTCCTCCATAAGTCTTTCTGAGATATTTTCCAGAAGCCTGTGGATTAGACTGAGTTTTCTTAAAGCCTTAAAGTTCCTTTTTGGGTCAACGCCCTCACCACACGTCCCCACTCACCCCACATACAGGTGGAAGATCTCCGGCCACGCTATGCCACAGGGCTGGCAAACAAAGCTGAAGAGTTTTTCACCCAACTGAATGAGTTGTAAAACTATCCATCCCAGAAACAGCAGCTGGGGAGAAAGGGTAATTCTAAAGGATAGACCAGAAGATACATGGGCCTATTTGTTCAAGGCCCTATTTGTGCTAAAACAAATGAGGATGTATTCCTGAAACGAATGAGGATGGATTCACCAGATGTTTGAAGATCTGCTCAGAGATCCTGACTTTCAGTCCGAGATTAACACGTTGTGACCAGTAAAAAAAAAAGTCTTCCCAAAAGAAGGAGGATTAAAAATACTAACACTAAGGAAATATATTCATAAAGAACCAAGTTCCTTAAAAACAGAGAGAAAACAGCCTTGACTTAAACAGCCTGTGAATGCTGGAGCCCACCTGAGAATCTGGCAATTTCTTTTTTGATGAACAGCCTAAAAAAATAATTTGCGTAGTACTTCTGTTGGAGAAAAGCTCTGCCAGGAACTTCATTACAGTCTCTGCATGCTCCTCTGTTCCAGCACTGAAGACCTCCAACACAGTAAATCCTGCCCCCCTGAAACAGAAAGCGCTAACACAGACAGGTACTTCTCAAAAGATGGGTCTCCTTTTTTAATAAAGACAGCAGAGGTTGAGGATGGCCTGAGGAAGGAACCCGTCACCCCATCTGCCTCATTTTGCTGTGAATATCTCGAGTATCTCCACAGACCATGAGAGATTGCACTATTTCGAAGCCCAGGGTGTAAATCCTCTTCATGTCAATAGCCATCATCCCCAAAATGAGTTCGCTCTCATTTCCAGACACACTAAAAACACTGCTTTCAGACTTCTTAGCCCACGAATACCAAATCACATGCCCAAATACACCTTTCCCCAAAATAATACAAAGTGGGCCAAAGCGAAACAGCCCAAGTGCTGTCCAAAACCCCTGTGAGGCGTCCCCTACCTGACAGGCACCTCTGAAGGCCTAGCGCCAGCAGGAGGCCGGCAGCAGGCCTTCCACCACTGCCCACAGGCCCAACTGCACGCTTAGCTCAACAAACTGGCACAAAAACATACTTAACTGGCACCTGGGACCTTCAAAGGCAACCCCGTTTCCATTCTAGCCCTGGCAGCTGAGATGCAGAGGTCTTTAATTGTCCTCCGTTAGCGTTTTACTAACGCCGCGTGTGTATATTGGCTTCGTGAGCCAGGGCTACTGCTGC